TGTGTGTGTGTGTGTGTGTGTGTGTGTGTGTGTGTGTGTGTGTGTGTACCTATCTGCTGTTGCCACGTGGCAGACGGGGGTAGGCTAGTCCTAGAGTACTTAAGCCTGGGAGCCGCTTCCCCCGGGGTCAGAAGATTGTTCAAGGTTCCTGAATAAACTCCTTGGAGAAGAGCTCGTGTGCCGTGTGCCGCATCATCCTTGCTGGACAAGGGTGGGCGCGACACTACCCCCGCTTTTCTGTCTCCTCATCTGTGTGGCTACTTGCCTTGACCTCCTGTGAGATCAGTGAACCTGACTGAGAGCCCCCCTCCGCCCAATAAACCTGCCTTTATAGACTTTGTCTTGATTGGCTCATTTCATGGGTGGAGAACACCTACATACCAACAGCTCCTGAGTGCACAGTGTTCCAGGTGCTGGGGCCGTAGGACAGATGGGGTCCCCACATTCGTCGGAACCGGTATATGTAATGATAGATACTCAGGTGTCTCTTAACTTGGGACGACTTAGGACGTTTTCACTGCGATAATAGGGTTAAAACAGTATATATTCAGGGAGCCCCTAAGATGGCTCAGCTTGTAAACCTCTTGCTGTCAGGCCGAATCACCCGGCTACATAATGAGATCCTGTCCCCAAAACAACAAAACAAAAGCCTAAGACAGCTGCTGCTTAAGTCTCAAGTCATGAACAAGCAGAGGTGTCCCCAGGGAAGAGAATCATGTCCTCCATCATGCCACCAAACACTAAGTGGGAAAATGCTCAGTCTTCTAATTGTGTTTTCTCAATTGTTTATTTAGGATTAACTGGGTGGTGAGGAAGGAAAGGGAGACTCTTTGACCTCATCTTTGACAGGGTATACACCAACTGGCTTCGGAGAAGTTGTCCCCACTGTCAGACACATGGCTGCTTTCCCTGGTGATGTGGGAAAACACATTCAACACTGGCTTAAAGAGACACATCAAAGTTTGTTGCAAATGAATACCTTCTGTTTATTCCACATACAGAAACTGGCTTCTAGAGCTGGGTATGGAAAAACAAACAAACAAACAAACAAACAAACAAACTTTGACCTGGCTCTACCTGTGAAGGCCCTGGAGATGAAGGCCTAGTTTCTGATGGCCAAGTCTTTCTCCAGCTGAGAAAACTCCTGACCTTTAGTCAGGCCTAAGCTAGGGACTGGGAACAATGACATGGGACTCTTTCCTGATGAGGTGAATGTCAGCTTGTGGCAGGCTCTTCCAGGCAAGTTCAAGGATCCCGTACTTGGCAGTGCCTTTGGGACTAATGGTATGCACATTATTCTGTTCAGGGAGGGGTATGACGTTCCGGAACCCCAGAGGGATTTGTGGGGGGTGGGAGCCACCGCAAACCAAGCAGTACAGTAGCCGCTCTCCAGGCACCAGCTCCTCAGCCTTCACAGTCTCTTTGGAGATGAACTCTTGTGATCGGGGCTCTCCAGTCAGTAGCAGGTCCAGCAGCAGCCTCTGGATCCCAAGAGACTTAATCTGGTATAGGTCCATGAGCTGGTAAAACTTTTCCATCCAAGTAGCCTTGTCTTTGTCGTACTGCTGCTGTAGCATCCGCAAAACATGGTAGAGCGCCACAAATGTCTCCCATGGAGGTACCTCTTCCTTTTTGGGGGAGATAGGTTTTTTCTCCAACTTAGGCAGTTTGGGATACCTGCTTTTACTTTTAAGATCCCCAAAGTCTTTTTGAAACATCAGCGCCAGGGTCTGATTGTTTATGGAAGAATGAGCTTCAGTCAAAATGTCTCTTGTGGTAGGATCGAAAGACCGTGTCTCCATTTCATCCAGAGCACTGGATAACTGTTGCAGCCGTGTACTTCTGTATGGCTCTCCTAGAAGATGCCAGTGTATAACCTTTGGGTCTGTAACACTTTTGGTAGCTAATGACCCTGGTACGGGGCCAGCTGAAGGTTTCAGCCAGCCAGCCTGTTCCCTTCCCTTTATGGGAGGGATCACTTTCAGATGTTTGGGGCTCATAGGTTCTCTACTAGGTTTTAGAGATCTTGAATCCACAATCTGCTTATGACGGTGCACAATGGCTTCAAGTACTGCCAGGTGCAGCCACTGCAGGTCTCCTGTTTCGGTGAGGTCTTTGAGGAGTTGGCACAGTCTGTGGAAACTGTATCTGGAAAGTTCTTCTCCTGCCTCCATCTGTTTCAGGACGCCATGCAGCCACTCTATGTCTGATACTCCTATCTCTGAGTATTGTTCCTCAGGGGAGATTTCAGGGAGACGCAGCCGCCCCATTGTTTGTCCTGCCAGAGAAGGGTGATGCTTCAGAAACCACTTCGTTTTGAGATGGAGTCTGTGAGCGTCCATGGCCCTTCTAACCATCCGAGACGTGAACGGCATGATCATGCCTGCTATCTCATACTCTGAGATCACCTCCAGAAGGCGCAGAGGTTCCAGTTTGAATTTCTCCAACAACTCCCGCTCTTTGTCCATCACCTTTGCCCTCAAGGATATCATGGGTGCCATCGTGGGGATCTTGGACACTACGGCCTCCTCCTGGAATATCTGTTTCACTTCTGGTTCCTTGATTTCCATCTCCTCAGATGCTGGGGCCACTTTCCCAAGAGGGCCGCCCAGGGATATCAGCTTTATAGCACTCCCTCTGACCGAAGGGATTTCTTGAGGGAACAGTTCCCATCTCTGTAGGACCTTCTTTCTTTCTACCTGTGCCTTTCTTTCTCTTTTTAACGCTGCCTCTTCCTTCCTCTCTTCTTCCTGTAAGTGTTTCCTCTCTTCCTCTTCTATGTGGCCTACACTCTTCACCTCCTCCTCACCTGAGCTTTCTTCAATCTCTTCCTCCTTTTCCTCTTCCTCTTCTTCCTCCTCTTCATGCACCTCCTTTTCCATCTTTTTCTCTTCTTTTTCTATCTCCTCTTTCCCTTTCTCTTCTCCTTTCTCTTCCCCTTTCTCTTCTTTCTCTTCCCCTTTCTCTTCCCCTTTCTCTTCTTTCTCTTCCCCTTTCTCTTCCCCTTTCTTCTTTTCCTCTTCCTCCACTTGTTCTTTCTCCTCTTTTGGTCCCTCCTCCTCCTCTTCCTCCTCTTCCTCCCACCCTGCCTCTCTTTCCTTCTCCTTTTCTTTCTTTTCTATCTCCATTTCCTTCTCTCCTTCCCATCCCTCTATCTCCTTGACTTTCTTCTCCCTTTCCTCTTCCTCCACTTGTTCTTTCTCCTCTTTCCACTTTTCCTCTCCCTCCTCCTCCTCCTCTCCCTCCTCCTCCTCCTCCTCTCCCTCCTCCTCTTTCTCCTCTCCCTCCTCCTTTTTCTCCTTTCCTCCCCCCTCTTCCGACTCAGCCCCTTCCTCAGCCTCCTCGCTTTCTTCCTCAGACAAACTCTCTTTGTCTACCTCAACCAACAGGCTTTCCATGTCCTGGGAAAAGTTCTCTTTACGTTCTACCTGTTCCAATAGGTTGTAAAACTTTTCTGTCCCAGGAAGAATCCCTATGAAGGCTTTTCTCCTAATCCACTGCCTTTCAACGAATAGAGCTCCTTCCTCTGTCTCAAGGTCCTCCTCCTTCTCCTCTTCCACCTCCTCCTCCTCCTCCTCCTCCTCTGAGACCTCTACTGTTTCCCAGTCAAATTCCCCTTCTTCCTCAGCCACTCTCTGCTCTTGGGTTCTCAGCCTTCTCATTTGCCTGGCCAGACGTCTTTGCATCTTGGCTAGCTTTCTCTCCTCCATGATTATCTCTGGTTGTTCTTCTCCAGCATCCAACTCCTTAATGTCAAGTCTCTCCTCCTCCTCACTGAGCTGGCTCTCCTTAATTAACAGTGACCGGTTTATCTTTGTCATCTTTGCTTCTTTCCGTGTCAGTTTCCTTGCTTTGTTGACTAGATTTTGAAGCGCCTTTAAGGATTTTCTAGTCTCTCCAGGCTCCTTAGAGACACCCTTCTCTCGATCCAGTTTCCTCGTGGCTTTGGCTAACTTCTTTTCTTCGTGGGCCTGTATCCTCTGTTCTCTGGAGAGATCCAGACTTTCTCTGGCAGCATCCTTTTCCTCTGTGGCCAACAGTCTGTCTTCGTATGCTAGAATCTTCTCCTCCAGCGACACTCTCTTCTTCATTAGATGGATCTCATGCGTGGCCAGTCTCCTTCTCCTTAAGATGGCTTCCTCGACCTCCGTCATGGGGGGCTGTTCTGACTCTTCCATCAGCTTCATCTTCTCCTTGGCCACCTTTTTCATTTCGTAGGTCAGCTCCTCCCCCTCTTTGATAATCTCAGTCTCTTCTCGGATAAGTTTGCTATTCTGAATTACTTCTGTGATCTCCTCGGCTAGCTTTACTTTTTCTGCAGACAGCTTCCCTTGCTTCTCCGCCAGAAGCTTGTCTGCCTGCTCCATTTCCTTCTCTGTGACAACCACCTTCTCTTTCTTCACCACAAAGATCTCTTTCTCCTCCTTCAGCTTCTTACTTAGGTTAATCAGCTTCTCTCGGTAAGACTCCAGCTTGTTTTTTATGTCTTTTAATTGCTCCTTCCCCTTCAGGAGCTTTTTTTCCTTATCGTGGAAAGCCTTTTCTCTTTGGGCCAGTCTTTCTTTTTCCAGAGACAGCATGTGCTTCTCCTGATCCAGACTTTCTTCCTCCTGGGCCAGTCTTGTCTTTTTTTCTTTGAGTTCTGTCTTTCTCTGAGCCATTCTCTCTCTCTCCTGGGCCTGTCTCTGTTTCTTCTCCCTCAGTTTATCTCTCCTCTCTTGCAGTCTCTTCACCTCTTCAGGCGTTGTGTCTTTCTTCCAGGCCAGTCTTTTCTCTTCCTCCATCTGCTGCTCTTCCTCCTGGGCCAGCATCCCCTCCTCCAAGAACAGGTTCTGCTCATACAAGGCCAGCATCTCCTCCTCCTTAGCCAGAGCCTCGCTTTTTTCAGCCAGTTTTTGTATTTCCTCATACAGTTCATCTTCTTTCAGATCGAGCTCCCTTCGCTCCCATTCCAGGTTCTTGGCTTCCTCTTTTAGCTCCTTTTCCTCCAAGACCAGATTCTTTTCCTTTTCCATCATGGTTTCTATTTTCTGGGCCAACACTGCTTTCACTTCTCCCACTTTATCTATTTTTTTTGCAATTTTTTCTTCCTCATGTGCCATTTTCTCCAGCTTTCTGGCCAGTTTCTTTTTTTTCTGGGCCAGTAGCTGTGCTTCATGGCTTAGAATTTCCTCTTGTTGGCCCAGAAAGTTCTCTTTCTCACCAAGGGTCATCTCTATGCGGGCCAGTTTTCCACCCTTGGTAGCCCTTTTCACATATTCTTGGGCCAGTTTTCTCTCCTCCTGGGCTAGCTTTTTCTCTTCCTGTGCAAGTTTCTCTTCTTCGTTTGCGAGCAACCTCTTCTCTCTAGCTCGTTGTCTTAGGGCTCGGGCTTGTTTCCACTCTGCCCTGGCCTGTCTCTGTGCCACTTGGATCTGTTTCCTCTCTCTTCTGAGGACCTTTCTGTCTTCTGCTTCTTCTTCGTCTATCTCTTCCTCTTCTTCTTCCTCCTCCTCCTCTTCCTCTTCATCTTCTTCTATCTCCTCTTCCTCTTCCTCTTCCTCCTCTTCCTCCCCTTCCCGGAATGGCATTTCCCCTAAATCCAATTCTTTCTCAGTTTTGGTCTGTGATACGTTTTCCCAGATCTCTCTCCATTCATCCCATTTCAGCATCTTCTTCTCCGGTTTCTCTACTTCCTCACTTGGTGACAGCTTTCCTTCGGCCAGAAGTCTCTCCTCTTCTTCGAAATGCTTCTTATCACATTCTTTCTTCCACTCTTCCCAAAGCACTGCCCTCTGAGTCTGGACTTTCTGCCATTCATCCCAAGACTTCTTCCACTCTACCCAAGACAGCTTTCTCTCAACTGCCTCTTGTATCTCTTTTGGCTGAATCATTTGCTCCTCTTCTTCCTCCTTCTTCTTCTCCTCCTCCTCCTCCTCTTCCCCCTTCTCTGCTCCTTCCTCCTCCTCCCATGTTCTTCTTCTTTCTTTTCTTCCTCTTCCTTCTTCTTCAGCCATTTCTTCTGATTTCAGAGTCACAGCCAGCTCTTCTCCTGAGACAGTCTCTTCTATTCTTTCATATTCTTTCATTTTTTCCTGCTTAGCCAGCCTTCTAGCTCTCCTTCCCCTCCTGGGTTTCCGCTTCTCTTTGACTGTTTCCTCTGGTTCTAAGAAAGCAACTTCCTTCTTTTTGTCCTTTTCCTCGGTCACTTCCTCCTCCTCCCGAAGTCCCTCTTCTTTTTCTAGTCTTTCCTCTCCGGCCTCTGGCATCTCTTCCTTACTTGTGACTTCCATAACCTCTCTAGTTGCTTCTTCAGCGATAGAAACTGGTTCTCCCTCTTGTGGGGCTTCTTCCCCAGCCTCGGCCTCAGCCTCAGCCTCAGCCTCAGCCTCAGCCTCAGCCTCAGCCTCAGCTCCCTCTTCTTCCTCCAATAAGGGGCATATTTCTTCAAAGAGTTCCCAGCTTGGATACTTCCCTGCCAGAATCTCAGTAGCAGTAGCCACTAGCTCAGCGCTTAGATCATCCACCATCCATGTTTGGGAGTCAGCTATTCTCAGGTTTGTGAGCCGACAGAGATCATTCCGCCATTCACTCTCTGGAGGGAGATTCCTACCAGGCCTTCCCCCGACACCCCGCCCAGAAACTCTTTGAATTCTCTTCCTTGGTAGTGGAGGTGGTAGAGGAGGAGGAGGAGGAGGAGGTGATGGAGGTAGAGGAGAAGGTTCAGCTACTACAGGAGGCAAGAGTTCCTCTGAGGCAGCTACAGCTATGGCTTCGACTCCTTTCTTCTTCTTCCTGGCCTTTTGTTTTCGAGCTTTCTTGTCTTTTTTGTCTGCGGTTCTTGGGTGAAGTCTTTTCCTTAGTCTCATGGCCACGGAAATGTGTTCCTTCAAGACATCTTTCTCTGAAATTTCCCCCTCTTTGGGGCTCTTCAGTAGGCTGCCAGCTGAAGTCCTGGAGTGGGTTATTTTGAGGTCTGCCTGAGCTGCTTCAGCCTCACCCTGGTCGATTATCTCCTGTTTCTGCTGTTTAGCTGCCTCTTTGACCTTTCTGAGGCCTCTCAATAGTTTCCGGGCTGCGAGGGGAGTGGGGGGGGGGATCAAAATATAAAGGTGAGGAAAGTACAGAAACTTTTAATAAAGAGTACAGAGAGGACTGGTGCCTGTTTTTGTTTGTTTGTTTGTTTGTTTTTGTTTTTAAAAGACATTCTCCCTCGGTGGGTGTGTTCCCAAGTTGTGCCTCCTTATCCAAGGTGGGGTGGGCGTGGACCTTGAGGTCTTCCAGAGTCTGTGATCTCCTAGGAGAGTTCTCTGACTCAAGCTCTCCTCTTGTCTTCCTACCTTGTACCTCAGGACCCTTTCTAATCCTAACTAGCCTTTCTCTTAGGGATCCAAACCCTGGGCCCGGCTGCCTCGTACTTACCCCGTTTTCTGCCCGCTGACCGGATCTGTCTTTGGCTTTTGCTGGTTTTAACTTCATGTACTTCAGGAACTGGGGGAAGTAGGAGCAAGGAGATAGCCTGACTAGGTGCAGAAGACCCCGGGATTTCCAAGGAGAAGTCAACCTTCTCTCTTTTCGATATCGACAGGTTATCATTTAATCTCAGCTCTATTTGAGTAATGAGCGTTTGAATATCTGTGGGCCGGAGCCCCAGAAGATGGTCCAGGGACTCCTCCCCAATCATCTCTTGCCTGTGAAAGTCGAGAGAGAGAGAGAGAGAGAGAGAGAGAGAGAGAGAGAGAGAGAACGATGTTGAATCTGGCACAACAGGGAAACAGGGAGCAGGAAGCAGAGAGCTGCCCCGGAGCAAATGCAGGATTTAACAGGGGGACAAAGAAAGAACAGCGTATGATCCAGGAGCCAAGAGAGAGAGAGAGAGAGAGAGAGAGAGAGAGAGAGAGAGAGAGAGAGAGAGGATGCACTGTGTGGGTGAAGCTGGGTCTCCGACAAGGTAGGAGACAGAGAGGGATAGGTGAAGGGATGGAGAAGGTCATCAGAAGGTGGTTTAGGAATCACGGGGGTCTATGAAAAAGAAGGAAGGTTGATTGGGAGTGACAGTGATCAGGGATGAAGATGGGGGAAAGGAGGAAAAACTTGGAACTCGGAGAAGGTTAAAGCTAGCAGGTAAAGAATCAAGGTAGGTGCAAGCAACTCACTGCAGCTCCTGGAAGATGCCTGGTTTCTGGATCAGGGTTAACAGAGAGCTCTTTGAATGGATTCCAGTCTCGGGCATTATGGTCATGGCCTTGCTCCTTACTCGTTGGTCCTTGTCCATCAACCCCTGAGCCAGAGGCAAGGCAAAGAGATGAGTGATCATGCCTAGGCGCTTCAGCCCCTCCCAGGAGAGTTCCCGGATGAGTGGGTTGGGGTGGGTCGTATCATCCAGCAGACGGTGTGCTGTCTCTGAGCGCAGGGCTGGAGACACCTGGTACGAGGCGAAGATCTGCCCCAGTGCACCGATACAGCACTGGTACTTGAGGGGGTTGGCGTGGACCATGATGTTGAGGATTGCCTCGATCAGGCTACTGATGGTCACCTCACTCATCTTCTTCCCCAGCCAGCTGCGGTTGGTTTTATCTGTGAGGACGTTGTAAGTGATGTCCTTGGTGAGCCTCATTTCGAGGAAGTCTTCGTCTTCTTTCTGTGGGGCCTCCTCGCCTTCGCTCATGGCTCTTATCTTGCTCTGCCAGAAGAATGGCTGACCCTTCTCCCACTCCAGATCCCGCTGGGGTGAGTGCAGACTGCACTTGAGGAATATCGGACTGCCCTCTGGCCAAAGACGGGCACGGATCACTGAGTTAGGGATGTAGCAGTCTGGAGCGAGAAGCCATTTCCTCCCCTGTCCAAAGTAGCATCGCAGTATCTGATAGGGGTTCAGTCCGTCCCAGGCGGTCAGCTGCAACTGGGCGGGGATCACGTAGTGAGTGGTGAGTTTGGGCTGCTTGTCAAACTCAGGCAGCAGCTCTCTTCCCTCCAAAGGGATATACCGGGAAGCGGTCAGTAACACGGTGCTGCCGTCTTCTTCTTCCTCTATGACGTGTGGCACATTATGATCGAAGGCAATAGCCCGCTTATTGGGAAGGCTTACCAGGCCTTCTAGGTCCTGTCTCCGTTGACCTTGGTAGCTGTACTTAGGCACCAATAAGGTCTCAAAAGAAAAGAAGAAGCTTGGCATAAAAGGTTTGGGGACTTCTACCAAGTCATCTGTTATGGACAGAAGGACGAGGCGAGAGAGTATGGGTTCGGGAAACAGGTGTAAACAGGACACCAGATAAATACTCTGGTTGAAAGTCACAAGCAGGTCGGCCCGGTCATTGGCAAAGCAGAGCGGGCCAAAGTGCAGAGACGAGTCCAGCATGGCTATAAGTCTACCCTGAAAATCCCAGATGCGGACGGTGCCATCGGAACCGCCTGTGACAAAAATATTCAAGGCCAAGCAGACGTCAAAGGAGGTGATGGGACACTGGTGCAGAGGCAGCGTCTCTATGAATTTGGTGCCTTGCTTTGTCCCAAAGGACATAAAATCATGGAACTTCCAGAGCCGTAGGCAGTTGGTATCCGTAATGGCACCTACAGCCCTTGGTAGGAGGACCAGGTGTTTTAGTGGGCAGCTGCTGAGAATGCAAGCCAGGGCCCTAAGTTGTAATCGGGTCCCGGTCAGCACAGCTTCTGACAATTGTATGTAGTCATCTACCCCATAGGAACAGAGCAAAGAGTTTTCTCGGGTAGTCAGAAGGCCCCCATAGAATACTGACAGAGCCAGGACTGCCCCAAAGTGAAGAATTTTCTCAATCCTGGCACAGCTGTGCTGGGACAGTACTCTTACCAAACCACTCTGATGCCCAGAGAATATCAGTCCTTCCAGCCCCCGACCCAGATGGAAATTCCCATAAGCCAGACACTGAACAAAGTCCTGAGTATCCGGTGAGGTGCACAAGAGATACTTGACAGGGCAAGGGTTGCGGCTCGTGTCAAACACTAGCACCTCTGAGGTGCCCATCGCTACAAAAAGCTCCTCTTTAATTGGGTCATAGGCCCAGTCCACAGCGTGGTCGAGGACGGAGAAAGGCCAAGTGATAAGCAGAAGATCCCCTGTTACAGGAGACACGAAGCGCAACAGGCCGTCCTCAGTGGCACATAGGATCCGGTAGCAGTTTTCCCTACAGCGGACTCGACGTAAGTGCTGGGGAACGGAGCCGCAGACATTGAAGAGGCTGTAGAAGCCAGGCAGGCGGCACAAGGAAAAATGATGTGTCGTCTGGCAGAAGAAAGTCGTGTTGTCGATAAACTGGAGGCCGTAGAGCTCCTCACCAATTTCCAGGTGCCGGAGCAGGTTCCCGGAAGTGAGGTTCCACTCCTTGATCACGCCTTCCTTGCCAGCCGTCAGCAGGGTGTGGGCCTCTGACCGGCCCTGTATACATACCACTAACGCGGGATGGGCTCTGAAGCTGTGAAGAGACTGGCTTTGAAGGACGGTCCACACGTAGACCTCCCCAGCCTTGTTCCCAGCGTAGAGAAGGTTCTCCTCGAAGCTGGTAAAGCAGCAGGAAATGGGAGAGCTGCAGTTAATGGCTATAAACCTCTGTGCCTCTCCCAGTTGACCCTGGCCCTGGCGTTCAAGGACTCTCAGAGTATTTTCACACAGGGCCATGAGGCAACCATTGGGGCCGTTCAGGACGATGTTTTGGACGACCTCGTCGCCTGAGATGGGTGATATTTGCATCATGTGGAGGCCCTTGCCAGTTTGTTCAATGGTCCAGGTGACCACTCCCCCCAGGATGCCGGACAGAAGCATCTTTGTTTCTGGATCGAAGCAGAGACAGCTGATATCAAAGCGGCAAGGCACAGTGCACATGGATTTGAATGCCCTAAAATGGTCGCCGAAGAGCCTCAGGATCATGTCGCCACAGTAGACCACGATGAAATGAAAGGAGCCTGTGTGCACCATGGCCTGGATAGGCCGCAGTCGCTCCGACATTGGGAATGTTCTCTTTTCAACCATGTCGTCGATTCTGTTCTTCACCCACACTACAGCCTGCAAGACAGTAAAAGACAGTAGAGAAGAAGAGAGCCAGTCAGCCATCTTCTATACTTCCCTTCCCTCCTTCCTCCCCTTTTAAATTTATTTTTTCCTTCTTGACAAGGTCTCCCTATGTAGCCCTGGCTAGCTTAGAATTTACTATATGGACCTGGTTGACCTCCTCCTCCTCCTCCTCCTCTTCCTCCTCCTCTTCCTCCTCCTCCTTTTCCTCCTCTTCTATTTATTCTTCTCCTTCTAATTCTTCTTCTCCTTCTTCTAATTCTAATTCTTCTTCTTCTCCTCCTCCTCTTCTTCCTCCTCTATTTATTCTTCTCTTTCTAATTCTTCTTCTTCTTCTTCTTCTTCTTCTTCTTCTTCTTCTTCTTCTCCTCCTCCTCCTCCTTCTCCTTCTCCTCCTCCTCCTCTTCTATTTATTCTTCTCCTTCTAATTCTTCTTCTCCTTCTAATTCTAATTCTTCTTCTTCTCCTCCTCCTCTTCCTCTTCCTCTTCCTCCTCCTCCTCCTCCTCTCTCTTCTAATTCTTCTTCTTTATTTACTTATTTGTTTGTTTTGGTTTTTCTATGACAGGGTTTCCCTGCATAGCCCTGGCTCTCCTGGAACTCACTCTGTAGACCAGACTGGCCTTGAACTCAGAGGTCCACCTGTCCCTGCCTCTCAAATGCTGGGATCAAAGGTATGCGCCACCACCACCCAGATATTTGTTTCTTTTTGACAGGGTCTTGCTTTGTATCTCAAACTGCCTTGAACTCCTGATCCTCTGGATATACTAGGAACATCTCAGGCCCCTGAGCGCTGGGATGACAGGTGTATAGCATCATATCAGGTTTCCTTGTTTGTTTTGCTGAGGAGGTATCAGAAGACTGGGGTGACTTTTGTCTTCTAGGGAGTTGGGAAGAGGGTAGAGGAAGGGAAGCTTGAATCCTTTCACCAACTTAACATTGATCATGAACTCTACGCAGAGTGAAGGACGTGGGTAGACAAAGTACGAAGGGAAAGCCTGAGTCTGGATCCTCGCCATTCACAGGGTGGCTCTGAGTTCAGAGCTACAAGGGTGTGGCCTTTGGAGGAACTAAGAAAGAGAAAGAAAGTGGCCTTACCAGTGTTTCTTTTATGTAGGATGACACCCAGGAGAGAGAGGCAAAGAAATGGGCATCAATGAAGTAATAGCATATAGTCGGCATAGTAAGAGGATAGCGAGATTCTTTGAATAGTATTTGGGATCGGTCAGTCAGCACGATTACGTCACTCTGTTCATCCGATGTGGGTTTCTGGGGGAGAGATATGGCATAAACTGAGGCTTAGGCACTAACATATTGGCAGGGGGTAGGGGTGGGGCAAAATTACAGCATTATCCCAAATTATACTGTGATGGCTTATCTTGGTTGTCAGCTTTACACACCTGAATGAAAAGATCCTCAATCAAAGGACTGCTTCAGTCAGGTTTGCTGTAGGCATGTCTAGAGGGCATTTTCTTGGCTGATAAGTGATAATATCAGGGCCAGGCCCACTGAGGGGGGCACATTCGTAGGCAGGTGGGTGGTATGAAAAAGCTAACTCAGCACATCGGAGGGAGGGAGCCAGTGCTTCTCCATCGGTTGGTTTCAATCACCTCCCCTGAGCTTTGGCTCCCTCGGTGATGCCCTGTAAGATGAAATAATCCTTCCTTCCCCAAGTTTCATCTGGTCAGTGTTTTATCGCAGCAACATAATCCCTGTTACCCTCACCTGTGCATAGCGTATGATACACTTGACAAGCATGTAAGAAACCCACAACACATAATGGACCATGGTATGTGGTATAAGCACAGTAGAAAACTATGCTCTTCTGAAAGTGTAGTTAGTCATACCCAACCCCCAACTCCATGTCTAAAAGATATATAGATCAGAAAGGGCACATTTAACAAGTTACTCAAACAAGTCTATTACCTTAGAGCCACGTGCAATGTAACAGGACACCCCCCCCAAATCAGCATAGCTTAGAATTACTAAAGATCAAAACTATACCAATAAGGGGCTAGAGAGACGGTTCAACAGTTAAGAACACTGGTTGCTCTTTCAGAGAGCCTAGTTTCAGTTCCCAGCACCCACACTGTAGCTCACAATGGCCTGTAACTCCAGTTTCAGGGAACCCAACCCCCTCTTCTGCACTCCACAGGCACTGTGTGCACACGCAGGCAAAATGCAACATATACAATAAAATAAATCTTTAATCTCTGTGAGTTCAAGGCCAGCCTGGTCCGCAGAGTGAGTTCCAGGACAGCCAGGGCTACACAGAGAAACCCTGTTTCAAAAAAAACAAGAACAAAAACAAATAACAAAAACAAAACCCCACCAGCACAAATAAGACTTCTAGGATAGCTTATTCTGACCAAGGAACAGAATATACACAGTGTATTATTCCACAGAGATACTACATAAATATGAGCCATGTACTGGGGCTCCATCCGGTCAGAGCCGGCCACAGCAAAGCTGAGGTTAGCAAATGCTCTCTCTGCTACAGAGTGGGAATTTTGGTTTCTTTAAAAACACAGACGTATTATAAGAATATGGTTTTTGCTTTAATCTCAGGTGCGCTGGTTCACAGCCGATGACTGGTTTGCCGTGTGCTCTAGCAGGGGCATGGTTTTGCCAGCTGCAGATAGTTTCTGTGAGCGTGTGATGATTGGAATTCTGGGAACTTTTCGGAGAATATATAAGTGCTAAGAGCCCCAGCAGAACGGGCTGTTGGTCCGCTGATGGTTGGATGCTGCTGGTTTCAGTTTGTTGCAGTTTTTTTAGCTGTTACATAAGAAGGGTCCAAAAGAAGAAATTAAATATCCTGCAGACAAAGATCAAACTTGCCCCAAGGAGATCAATGTGCCCCTTGTCTTAGTTAGGGTTTCCTGAAGAGACACCATGACCTAAGCAACTCTTATAAAGGACAACATTTACTTGGGGCTGGCTTACAGGTTCTGAGGGTCAGTCCATTATCGTCAAGACAGGAAGCATAGCAATGTCCAGGCAGGCATGGCGCTGGAGGAGCTGAGAGTTCTACATCTTGTTCCAAAGGCAGCCAAGAGAAGACTGTTTCCCACGTGGCTAGGAGGAGGGTCTCAAAGCCCATCCCCACAGTGACAGACTTCCTCCAACAAGGCCACACCTCCTCCTAATAGTGCCACTCCCAGGGCCAAGCATTTTCAAACCACCATACCCCTAATCAGCTGAAAGAGTCTAACAGTATCATCACCCCCTTTCCTACCCCTGAATTTGTTTGGGGATTTCTTTTCTCTCTCCCTCTCCCCGCTATCCTTCTTTCTTTCCTACCTAGTGTTAGAGGGTGGAAGGGGTGGAAGAAGAAGGGTAGGCAAGGGTAAAGAAAAAAAAAGAAACAACAAAGTAGCCAAAAGGCCTCTACACTGCTGGTATCTTACTCTTTGAGGTGCTTTGAATGAGATTGGCCCCTAGAGGTTCATACACTTGCATGCTTAGCCACCAGCTAAATTGTTTGGGAAGGATTAGGAAGTGTGTCTTTTTTAGAGGAGGTGTTTCAAAAGACCATGGCAGGCCCAGTCTTTCTCTCTCTTTGTCTGCTGCCTGTGGGATCAGGATGTAGTTTTCAGCTACTTCTCCAGCGAGCTCCCCGCCATGATGGTGATAGACTCACTCTCTGAAACTCTAAGCCAGCCCTCAAGTATGTGCTCCCCCTTATAAGGGTTGCATTGGTCATGGTGTCTCTTCACTGCAACAGACCAGTGACTAAAACACTATTCCCTTTCAGGAAGTTTCTCTCCACATGGGGTGGTTCCTCTGACACTGCTCCCAAATGTCTTTGTCCCACTGTCACTTATGCCTCGCCGTTATATCTGTACAATTATTTGGAAACTGGTAGCCCCCTTCTGTTAAGGTGACAACAACGGTCTGTCCTGGTTCTTGCTTTCGTGGACCCTATATAGCTCGTGTGAAGTGCCTATTACCATAAGATGGATAGAGGCCAACTGATAATATGTAAGTTCCCTCAAAACTCATGCCTTACCTTGCTTTTTTGAATGACTTCACTCACAAGCCTAAAAAAGTCGTTCCACTTGGGAATGAGCCTGGAGGAAGCCATCCTGGCCTGGTTTTCCCCTGGTCCTCCTTAGGACTGTTGCTTGTAGACCTGCGGGTACTCAAAAGAGGAGTGTTTAGTTTGGCTCATGGTTTTGGTTTTGTTTCCCTTTGTTTCATGATATCCTGTGTATCTTAGGGTGGCTTTGAACTTCCTGTATGGCAGAGGATGACTTCACCTTCTGGTTCCTCTGCTCACAGCTCCTGAGTGCTGGAGGTTACAGGCACGCCTGGCTTGTGCAGTGCTAGGGACGGAACCCGGGGCTTCGTGCATGCTAAGAGAGTGCTCTGCCACCGAGCTTCATCCGTCAACCCACTTTTCCTCATTTGTGAGATGAAAATGCCAATCTTGCCTGCTTTATACTGTGCTATATCTTCGTTCTTACGAAGATCAGAATTCCTGAGAAAGCCTTGATGAGTATACCCTGAAGCAGCAGACAACTACCATTGGCTCCAGGATGCCTTGGGTTTCCATTTCTTTTCCTACTTTATTCCCTCCTTGCCTCCCCTTCCTGCTCATCCCCACTTCCTCTCCTCCCTTTCCCTTTTCCATTCTCTTTTCTTCCCCTTCCCTTCTTCATACTCCCAGTTGCTCTATAAACTTGACGACTAAATTTATACTCTGGCCAGCAGAGGGCAGTGAAGGCCAACCATGACAGTCACAGGAAGGAACCCTCAGTCTCAGACATGATTCCCAAGGGGTTGTTCCCAGCCCGCTGCTCAGCACTGTTTTAGGAACTTATTATATTGCTTAGTATTAGTCCTTTTAGCCTGAGGCAGTGGCCTGCACCCTGCACTCTGAAGCAGAGTCTCCAGCATTCTGGGGACACAGACAGGCAAACTTCCCTGAATTTGATCTCTCTGAATTTCTCCTCTATATAGTGAGTTCCACAACATCTAGGACTGTGTCGAGATACCCTATCTCAATGACTCCAAAATCCCCCAAAAAATGAGGAGAGCAGAAGAGAAGGAAGGAAGGGCAAATTATCATGGACCCAACCCCAGCTCTACTGCATTGTAAACTCCTATATAAGACCCAGTGATAACCTGAGAACTTGTAACAAGCTCTCTGGCTGATCTCTTGCACACTAAAGTGAAGGGCCATTCGTTTAGAAAACTGTTGGAGTTCACGGAGAGGATGGCTTGGGTCTTTTGAAGTAAAGCCAGTAAAATCACCCCTCCAGTATGGCTAAGCTTAGGCCCCGTGCTTAAGAAGAAGACAGAGAGAAGGCAGCAGGCAGAACATTTTTGTAGAGTGGGTGGGAATCTGTTTGGAGAAGAAAAGAGATGAGTTCAAGATTACCTGTAGGGCTGGTGAGATGGCTCAGTGGTTAAGAGCACTGACTGCTCTCCTAGAGGTCATGAGTTCAAATCCCAGCAACCACATGGTGGCTCACACCCATCTGCAATGAGATCTGATGCCTTCATATGGGTGTCTGAAGACAGCTACAGTGTACTTACATATAATAAATAAATAAAAAATGAAGTGGAAGACTACCTGTAGTTCCAGTACTTGGGCGGCTGAGGCAGGAGAAGAGGATAATGATTGGGGTCTAGGCTATCCTGGGTTAAACAGAGAGTGACATATGCGAGCCAGGACTATTATGTGAGTGACCCTATCCCCAACCCTCAAATCAAGATGTAAGCGCTAATTCACATACTGCACACTAGGAGGCCAGCCCCATACCCACAATTTACCTCACTGGGTCCTCCTCAGTCCCCAGAACCAGAGATGATACCACGTGTGGGGATACCATATGCAGCCCCTGCCAGCAGCGTCTATTGTTCTAAGTATACCACTGAGTCCCCCTTGTCTTCACCAGCCTACAGAAATTCACAGTCGGGGTCCTTTGGGTTATCACTGCTGGGGTGGAGGAGGCGCAGACAAGCCTTCATCAAGGTTTGTGTTTTCTGTCAGTCCTTCCTTGAGCTAACTCATCAGGTGACCCAGAGGAAACCTCTCCCCTAAGCCCTTCCCAACTTCATCCTTAGTCTCAGAGCTAATCCCTAAAAATGAGTCTGGAACAAGCTCTGGAGGACAGACAGCTTGATAACTCAGAAATGATTTATTGGTAGCGCTCAGTCTGTAATCAGAGTGATTATGACACAAAGGATTTGGGACTAAGATACGCTATTTCCTGTTGTCTGTAGAGAATCTGCGGGTTTTTTTGTTTGTTTGTTTGTTTGTTTTAACTTTTCTTAGGTCCAATATACAGACAATATCTGAGGAAAAGCAGGTGGCATAAGAACCTTGCCTTAAAAGAGATCTGCCTGCAGGGGGCGCTCTACTCCACCACACTGTATGCCTCCAGGCACGCACTGGCTTTGTAGACTCTAACAGCATATGAGATACAGACTTCTGGCTTCCTAGACTTTACAGTTTAGCAGGAAAAGGAGACATCAACAAATAGCCACAAAATTAACAATGGGACAACTGGAGTGATGGGTTATTAATTTTTTTTTTCTGCAGCCTTTAACTGTTTCAAACTAAAATCTCACTGGTAATATCCATGGTGTGCTTGCTGGTACTTTGTGATATGATTTATCAGATACAATAGCCAGCTTCCCAAAAGACTGAGGCAGGATTCAAAGTTCAAGACTAGCCTGAACACACATGCTCAAATACATATGAGTGTGCACGCACATATCACAGAATACTGTGACTGTATTTAACAAGGAGTGAGCACCCAAAAGGAGGGTGACGTGTGCCCTATGCTTTGAGATAGGACCCTGAATGAATTAAAAGGCAGGAGTGCAGGTAGTCCACCTGGGACCAGAAGGGCCTCCTTAGCTGACTATAAAACTAGAGAGCCCACCTTGGCTTGTACTGTTCTTTGAATGGCATTACAGCTAAGGGGCTGAAATCTGTCCAGTCTTCTGGGAGTACAACTCTTGGACTTTGGGCAGATTCAGTAGGGTAGAATGCACTTAACTAGCTTCCTTCCTTCCTTCCTTCCTTCCTTCCTTTCTTTTTTTGTTTTTTCGAGACAGGGTTTCTCTGTGTAGTCCTGGCTGTCCTGGAACTCACTCTGTAGACCAGGCTGGCCTCGAACTCAGAAATCTGCCTGCCTCTGCCTCCCAAGTGCTGGGATTAAAGGCGTGCGCCACCACTGCCCAGCTGACCCATTTACTTCTTATGATGGTACTATGAGTTAGCTATTATTCCCCCTTGGCTTTTTAAGATGAACGGGGAAAGAATATTGGGTAACCAAGGGCCACATGAACAATAAGTCACACCTCACAGTTGGCCACCTGTCCTCTCTCTTCACAACAGTGATCTGGTTATGTCCTTTCTGTATCTCTCTAAAAGTATGAGAGAGGTTGAGCGTGTTGTGCATATAGAGGTATATATATTCTACATGTCTGTATACAATATACAGACACCCTCACTCTATCTAGAGATTAGCTCATACTAATATAGACCTATACTTCATTTTGTAAAAGTCGCCAGGGTATATGACTGATCATTCACCCACATTCCTATTAATAGGTATTGGTCCCGTGTGTGTATGTGGGGAGGGGGTATCTCATGTAGCCTAGGCTAGCATCACCTTGCAGGGTAGCTAAAGAACTCCCAATCCTCCTGCCTCCACTTCCCAAGTGTATTTCCCTGCAAATTACAGACCCTCTACCAGTATATTTGGCTTGTTCATAGACATTGGGCAGTTTCCAGCCTTTAATTACAACAATCCATGCCACAGATGACTGACTACCTTTGTTGGTGTCTCATACTTTTTTTTTTTTATGTTTTTTTGAGACAGGGTTTCTGTGTGTAGCCCTGGCTGTCCTGGAACTCACTCTGTAGACCAGGCTGGCCTCGAACTCAGAAATCCACCTGCCTCTGCCTCCCAAGTGCTGGGATTAAAGGCGTGTGCCACCACTGCCCGCCAGTGTCTCATACTTTAATTAGATTGTAAACTGAGACAGAAAACGTATTTACATTTTAAGTATCACAGCTCATTATTGAGATTAATTTGGTTGGTTGTTTTTGAGACAGGGTTTCTCTGTGTAACTGCCTTGGCTGTCCTGGAACTTTCTTTGTAGACCAGGCTAGCCTCAAACTCAGAGAGACCTGACTGCCTCTTCCTCCCAAGTGCTGGGATTAAAGGTGTGTGCTTCCATACCCATGGAGATTAATCTTGATTATTGTATGTAAACTTTATTTTATCTATTTCTGTGAACCAGCTGGTTTAGTTAGAGTTACTTAGAACAGCGTGGTTGAGGTTTTAGTCAGATGGGCATGAGCAGATTACTATTGGCCATACCACTGAACAAAATGTCTCTCCTCTAGCAACCATTAACTTTAAGTCTATAGAGTCTCAGGGAAAGGTAGGCTTCAGGAGTTTTTATATAAAATTATGCCCCACAAAGTTCTAACTTGGTAGCCCAGGATGGCCCAGAACTCACTATGCAGTAACCCTCCCGCTCTCAGCCTTGTGAGTGCTGTGATTACAGGCCTGGTTTTATGTAAAAATTGAAGTTGGTCAGGCATGGTAGTGCATGCCTTCAATCCCAACACCTGGAGGTAGAGGCAGGCAATCTTTGTGAGTTCAAGGCCAGCTTAGTGTACATTAAAAGTTCCAGGCCATCTAATTACATGGGGAAACCCAGTCTCAAAAATTAAACTAAAATCGTTCATGTAGGTATTACTGCTTGTGGTTACAATGCCTTGGATTAGATGATATGCTTTGCTGAATGAATGGATAAGTGAATGACCCCTCTGAGCTGTCATCTGAAATATGTGCTTTCTGTCATGTCATAATGAACACCTTCCCAGGACGCGGGCTTAAGCAGCAAGTGTATGCATGAGATTTGGAGGACTGAGCAATTCTAGTCAGTTGCGTCCGAATCCCTTATGGAGTGCGAGCGGGCAACACCGTTTGGTTGTTTTTTAAAGGTCGAATCTTCATTCTTGTCTACGGGTGGATTAAATCTGGACATTCCCCAGGCGGTAGGCACTCGACAAACACTAGTTACCCTCAGACTATGCCATCACCGAATGAT